CCTGACCTCTTTACTTACAGAATTACATCCCTCGCAGCTCTACTGTCCCCCCCTCCCCTTCTGGACTTCTCCTCTGTATGTTACGTCTCCTTGCCACATTCTAGCGTTTCTTTAGCTGGTTTACTGTTTGTCTCCCTCTAGACGTGAGCTCCAACAGGACAAGGACAGCCTGTTTGATTCCTCGCTGTGTCGCCAGGACACACAGGGGTTGCCAGAAAGCAGGGCTCAGTCGTGGAAAAGCAGATGACCGGATACCGCCACTACTGTTGCAAAGAAAAGGCAACCAAGGGGCGGAGGACGGCCAAGGCTTCAGGCTCCCAACGCAGGCAGCGAGCCTGCCAACCAGTAAGGAAGCAGTAGGCAGCCCGGGCACAGGCTGAGAGAAACAAACAAGCCATTGGCAAAGGAGAAACCCTGTGGGCCCTTCGACAGGAACCGGTTCTCAGGAGCGACTGGAAGCCAAAGATAAGAAACCGTGAATGGATCTCCTTGGCGCCCGCCGGGTTGGCAACGCCGCACGAGTCTGACAGCGATGGGTGGGGTGGGGGTGCAGACTGGAAAATGCAGGCACTTGGACATCTGGCCTCACGCTGGACATCAGCCTGTGCTGCCAGTCCCAGTGCACAGACCAGAGAGGGTGACTGGCTCAGCTGGGGTCACACAGCAAATGGGGGTGCTGGAGCCATGCCTGAACCCAGTCTGCAGTGCAGTGGCCACCGGCTGGGGCCTCCAGGACCAGGGTCTTAAATAGCACAGCAGGTAGGGCATGGGGTGCCCCCAAAGCCCCAGACAGCTTGGGCTTTCAAATCACAGTCCCAACTGCATGACCCTGAAAAGCCTTCTAGAACTCAAGTTTCCTCCCTGGAGAAAAATGGGGCCAGCAGGACCCTGGGTTTCTGTGGGGAGGAGGAGACTGGGCCCTGGTCATCGTGAGCGCTCAACAGACAGGAGCAGCCCCAGCACGGGGAATGGAAGCCCGGAGTCCGGCTCCGCTGCCCCACAGCTGGCTGCCGAAGAGCTGGCCACTGACCTCACCCAAGGCTGGGCAGATATGCCCCAGCCCGCGTGTGGCCCAGGCCCAGGCTGCCAGCTGGGCCCCACTGGCTATGTGACCCTGAGCAGGTTCACCCCCTCTCTGGGCCTCCCTTCCAGGGCGGCAGGGAGAACTTCCGAGTCCTGGGTCTCCTGCACCTGCCAACCCCACAGAGCCCGCATGCGGGAGAGGCGTGGTCTGAACTCCATCCGGAAGATGGGGAAACTGAGGCCAGAGAGGCAAAACCACCAGGAGAGGCCTGAGTCTGGGTCTGTCTGAGTCCAGCAGAGTGGGGGGAGAGGGGGAAGGGAGCAAGAGCTAGCAAGAGACTGCGACAGAGAGAGGGAGACCCAGACAGAGGGAGAGAGAGACAGACAGAGGGAAAGATGGAGAGACGGGGAGGGAGAGAGAGAGAGAGAGACAGTGAGACTGGGAGAGACAGAGAGAGGAAGAGATGGAGAGGGAGAGGGGGAGAGAGAGAGACAGAGGGAGAAATGGAGAGAGGGAGAGACAGGGAGGGAGGGAGAGAAGGAGGAAGAGGGAGAGACAGAGACAGGGAGATGGGGGGGAGAGACAGACACAGGAAGACCCAGGCAGAGGGAGAGATAGAGAGGGAGAGAGAGGGAGGGGGAGATACAGGGAGACTGGCAGAGACAGAGCCAGGCCAGAGATAGGAGGAGGCACCCCGGAGCCTGTGCCCCGTGCCCTGCCCCGGCCTCAGAACGCCCTGTGCTCAGGGGCAGTCTTCCCAGGTTGGACAAGGAGGCTGCAAGGGCCTGGAGGGCAGCAGGGGTTAGGGGGAGACCCTGGGCGAGGGGCTGCCTGTGCCTAAGAGAGACCTCAGAGGCCCAGCCCTGCCCCCACCTCAACCCTGGGCTCGAGGTCTCCGGCACGGAGAGAGGACACACCTGTGTTGTTGAAGCCGCGGCCGGGGCAGCCCGAGCAGACTCAGCGGAATCCAAACACGGCAGAGAGTGGGGAAGGGCCCGAGGGGGCCTGGGGCCGGGTCGGGGTGGGGAAGCCTGGCCGCCCCGCTGCTTGGAAACCCGGTCCCTTTTCCTGCACAGGCCATGGTTGCCTTGGCAATGGGAAGCTCTGATCAGGCAGAACCAGGGTCTGCTGCCCCCACTCCCCTCACCTGGCCCTGCCTCCCCAATCTCGGGGCTCCTTGGAGATGGAGGTCAGGGGGACTCCGACAGGGGCTTCAAGGCTGGGGTGGGACAGGGGAAGTCTGTGTGGCTGGGGAGGGGTGAGGGGCCCTTGTCAGCACCCCCCCGCCCCCATCTCCCGTTTTCCAGGGCAATGCCTAGGCTCATCGAGGGTCAGGAATGGCTGGGGAGGGGGAGGGGAAGAGGGAGGAGGAATGAAAGGCAGGGCACACGGCTGGGGAGAACCTGTTCATGACCAGCCCCTCCAAGGAGAAACCTTTCTCCTCCCTACAGCCAGCCAGGCTCCAGCACACTCTACAGCTCCCCGCGACCGCAGGTCCCCTGACGCCCCGCCATCTCGCCTTGCGCCCCTACTTGGGAACACGTCTCAGCCCCTTTGTTCCCTGTGCGTACTTCCAGAACCTTCGGGATTCAGTCCTGCCACCAGCCTCTGTGGGTGCAGGGCCCTGCCTGGGGTGCCCCTCCCCTCTGGCCGGCCCCTCACACCCCAGCCTTTCCTGAATGGGTCAGGCCCCAGGAGCCCCTGGGAGGTGCACAGGGCATCCTCTCTGCTGGGGTCAGCCTTTCTCCACATCTGGCCACCTCCTCCGAGGGGTCCTCCCTGACCACCGCCCCTCTGGGCCACCCTGGGCCACCAGCTCCCCAGCACGCCCCTCTCTCCAGGATCACTTGCTCCTCCACTGTCTCCCCATCCAGCTGTGACCTCCACTGTCTCAGCTCAGCGAACACACATCCACATGTGCACACGGGGGAGAATTAGCACCGGGCAAGGCAAGGTGTTCCCAGTGGCTTTCAAAAGTTTCCTGGGTGACTAAGTTCATTTCCTGGGGCCGGCGTGGTGGCGCAGTGGATAAAGCCACCACCCGTGATGCCAGCATCCTGTTTAGGCACCAGTTTGAGACCCAGCTGCTCCACTTCCAATCCAGCTCCCAGCACCTGGGAAAACTGTGGAAGATGGCCCAAGTGCCTGGGCCCCTGCACCCATGTGAGAGACCTGGGAGAAGCTCCTGGCTCCTGGCTTTGCACCAGCCCAGCCCCAGCCATTGCAGGATCTGGGGAGTGAGCCAGCGGATGGAAAATTTTCTCTCTGTGTCTGTCTCTTCCTGTCTCTTTCAAACAAATGAATAAATATTAAAAAGAAAAAAATCATTTCACCTGGCAGCCTGTTAAGCATAATTGTGAAAGTCACTAGGATTATCCTATCCTATCCTATCCTATCCTATCCTATCCTATCCTACCCTATCCTATCCCATCCCATCCTATCCTATCCTGCCCTACTCTATCCCAGTGTATTCCACTGTATAAATTCCAGCCTCCACCTCCTGGTTTCCTGCCCACTGGTGGATCACGCCATTACTGCCCAGAGAGGTCTCCAGGGCCTTCCTGGCTCTGCTCTGACACCCACTCTTGTCACCCCGGGCCCCAGCCCCTTCTGGAATAGGGCGGTGGAGCCCCCCTGGTGCTACAGCCCTTGAGAGCGCCTGGCAGGGAGTCCCGGCCATGGCTTTGGCCATGGCTTCGGTGGAAGCCTCCCCAGGCCCCCTCAGGTCTCCTATCTGTTGGCTCTGGACCTTCCCGAGGCTGGGGTCACCCGGGCGGGTGCATCTCTGTCCCCATGGCCCAATCCTCTGAGAGGGCTGACCCATAGGGGGAGGGGAAGGGAAGGGTGAGGCCAGCAGGTGGCTCAAGCTCTTCCCCTGGAAAATTCCAGCTCCCCCACCCCCCAGTCCTTCCTCCTGGATAACAAAAGGAGTCCCAACACCATCACCACACCATAGGGAGCCCTGTCCCCATTTGACAGATGGGGAAACTGAGGCTGGGCAAAGGGGACAGACCGGCCCCAGATGTCACCACTCAGAAGGGGCTGAGAGGGGATTGGCACCCAGGAAGTCAGACTCTCAAAGGCCCAGGGGACACACAGTCTCTGAGAGCCATTCAATGCCTGGGTCCCCTGTCTGCTCCCGGGAACCCTGGCCCCCACCCCCACCCGGTCCTCTCTCTGCTCCTCCCTCATTCACACCCTCAGGGCCTTGCCCTCTGCTCGGATGGACACAGCCGGGGCTCTGGGTGGCCCACAGCGGCTGGGTCTCCACCCTGGGGCCTGGGACACCTTAACCCGAGGTTTTCCGACTGCAGGACCTGCATGCACCCCCAATGCAAGGCCGCTGGGAAAGCCGGTTCAGAGAAGGAATCCCAGACGGGCTGCTCAGGTTCAAATGAGGGCAGAGAGGCTGACGGGGGTTTGCAGGCTTTATCCACTCCTCCTCCTGCCCTGCCAGCCTCCACTCCAGGTCACACCAGGAGTCCCTCGAGTCCCCGGCTGAAAGCTGCAATGTTAACCCAAATCACGGCGGTATTTCAGGTGCAGCCCGCAGAGGAATACTGTGCACCACGGCCAGGGCTTGCTCCAGCCACCACAGAGTGGGGCCTGGCCAGGAGCAGGTGCAGGGGACCCCAGGGCCTGGCTCCAGCCCCAGCACTGCCCCTCGGCGACCCTCTCCCAGCCTCAATCATCCCATCTGTGGTACGGGCAGGTAGAATAGTTAGCGGGGAACTCCTCCGGGTGATGGCAGGTGGAGTTCAGCAAATAATAAACAAGGAACAGGTGGGGTCCCTGTGGGGAGGGTCTCACCTCTTGTTCCTTGTGGGGTCCTGGGGAGGCCAGGTGCCCAGCACTGTGTAAGTGGGGGCAAGGCCCTCGGGAGAAGCGTGACGGATGCGTCACGTCACTCATGGTGTGGTTCTCCGCTCCTGCCCGAGCCACAGCGAGCCCCCTCCCCCCCGGGGCCCCGTCTTACCCCGGCGGGATGGAGGCGCGCGCGCTCACGCCGCTGGAGCGCTGG